GGGGAAGGGGGCACACAGAATCTCTCTTTCTGCTTCTTCCTGTTTGTTGCTCTTTTATATTTTTATAAACTTCAGCATCTGCACAGCGAGCAGCAAAGCGAGGAGCTGCGACTACACGTCAGCGGGTTTATAATCTTCTCTGTGTTTCCAGCGTCTCCCTGAAGGACCTGAAGGCTCTTCTCCCCCAAGTCAACTACCGAGTGCCTAACATGAGGTTCCTGCGGGACAAAATGCAGGTGAGTGACAACCCGAGCGCGTTCTCCCCGTACACAGATCACTCCATTGTGAGAAGTTTCATGTTTAGTCTTCCAACCCATCGCAGCCATTTATATAAGACGCGCGCTGGAACAGTGGAGGAGTGGTAAAGCGCAGTCACTGTGCACTAGTACAAAACAGGAAGCAGATGCAGCTTACGATTATAATAATCCCCGGTGATCCTGCCATGGAGGTCCTCGTTCGGGCACTTCCTGTTATAGGGTGACAACTCTCTGGTCACGGGCTCCATTGTTATAGGGTGACAATGATCCCGTCACATGCTGCAAGCTACACATTGCACAGGCATGGTCATCCCACTATCGGGGAGCCGGTTCAGAGCAATGATGTGAAGCTGACGCAGGGGCGTCCCGAGGCCGGGTGTCACCCGGAGCGGTTACCGGGTGACACCCCGTTGTGACGTCATCGCGCGTGTGCGGGGATCCTGTTGATACCTGCGGGGGGCCATCTTGGTGAGAGAGAAGGGGACAGTCACCCGGCCGGATAAGGAATGCCGCCGGGTCCCCTTCTCTCCCCCTTAAACCTAGACCGAGAGCCCGACTTGCCAGAGGGGGTGACACCAAAATGACTGCCAGTCATTTTGGTGTCACCCCTCAATGGTGTCACACGGGTGCGGGCCGCGCCCCCCTTGTGACGCCACTGAGCTGACGCTAGAGTGAGTGCATGTAGACAGGGAGAAGCTGAAAGAACCCCGGGTGATCCTGCCTGAAGGTCCTAGTTCCTGTACAGGGTGACAACGCTCTGTCCGTGTCTCACAGTGTGCTGCTCCTGCGTTGTCACCCTGTCACCGGGGCGACCAATGGACACTACAAGCGGCCATTTCGACACACATACACAGGCATGTTCCACTGTTGTCACCGTCAGGAAACCAATGCCATGCGGTTATCGCTGGAGTGCAGGTAGACAGGAAGTGGCAGCAAAGAAGCTGCAGGGGATTATCACACTTGGCGATTTGTTTATTTGCACGCAGCGCGGGCTACTGATCACATCTGCTTTTGTGTCTTCTCTTCCACCGTCTCAGGAGATCGAGGCCCGCAGCGAGCTGTCCTTCGCGCACTTCGTCCTCTTCTACAAGAACCTGATGTTTGACGCTCAGAAATCGGTAAGCCGCCGTCTCGTCAGACGCTCATTGGCATTCCGCCGCCTCGCCCATGGGACAGGACTGACATGCTAATCGGCCCCCATTAACAAGCGGCCATTGTCTGTGTGCCAGTCATTGGCGGAGGGGAGGGGGGGGGGGGGAGCATTGGAGCCCGGCCAGGGGCCCCGGGCAGCGCGGACATA